GCGGTTGAAGGAGGTTCCTTTTAGGCGGTTGAAGGAGGTTCCTTTTAGGCAGTTGAAGGGTCCATTGAGTTATTGATCGATTTGTGAGGTAACCTTGTTAGGGTGTTTAGAGTATTGCCTAGAGTTGATAGTCTTTGAAGTGCAATAAAATGCCAAGAATACGTATTGCACTCTGATGGAAAGTTGCTCACAGCACTTATTTACTTATATTATATGTGTTGAAATTCGTTATAATACTTAAGGTATGTAAATGTAAGTGTAAAGTATGCTATACTAAAGCAAGCAATATAGGCAGAATAAATGGTGTTTGTACAAATCTTGAAATATTGTGCAAATATAATGTTGTATCTCTATTGCAGTCATCACTTTTTTTAATTATAGTTTTGAGGAGAACAACCCCTCAATTGAAACAATCAACTCACTAATTAGTGCAATTTCTGGCCCAGACGTGGCACCTTTCAAAGGATTTATAATGTCTGTGGATTTAGGGAACTTGGACAAAACCCAACAAGAACATTTTCGTAACTGGTAGCAATGAAATTCCTATGATATTCACTCCAATATTCTTGGGTTTCTTGAATATGCAACTTATTTTTTATCTTTCTTGGCGGCATTTCAAAAAAACGGGTAATATCATTTTGTATACTAGTCATACTAGGTGAATGATAGGGATAATTTATTAACTCCAGATTTACCTATTTCATGATTACTTTTGGTTAACAGATAGGGACAACTCTTTGTAACAAAGTATTTTTCTTATTCAAATGTACACTTATAACAACGCCGGAGACACAGGCGGCGGTTAATTAACCTGTATTGTGGTCACCACAGACCAAGAGGTCGTAAATACCCTCTGAAAGAGTGGCCCTGTGCCTTGAGGAAGTGCCAGGTGTATCTCCCACTTCGTAATATGGAAATGTCAGATAACGAGAATGTGATGTCATGCGCTCCGGCTGACCCCTGGCGGTTGCAGGTACCCGGGCCTGCAAGCAAGAAATTGGCTACCGAAGACTACATGGGAGCGGGCGACCAGGCTTCCATGTCAGTTAATGCCACTGGCAGCAACAAAAAGTACAGCCAGCAAGTCTTTCTTTCACCCAGGCATATTCATACGGACCAGATCTTCTTCATCGGGGAGTATTCTCTCTGCGTCTTCAGCTAAATTCAGTATTACATCGTCATGTAATGGGAAATCCAATGTAGACGCAGAACTTATTTCCAACACAGATAAAGCTCTTGTTTGCCCTCCTTCTTGGCGACGAGTACCTGTGTGTGAAAAGAAAGAAAATGTCTGACAGTTCATCCCCAGAAGCTGTCAAAACTTCAAACACATTTAGCGGACTTCAGTAGACACACCAGAAGTAAATTCTCAAATGAAGATAAAAACTTACTAAACCACCACCAATAATTCTTTATGAGGTAGAAGACGTGAATAAACTTATTGAATTGCTAGAGACAGTTGCTGAGAGAGAACAATTTACATTAAAGATAATCAACCGAAACCAATTGCGTATCAGTAGTGTTGATATGGAAATATACAAAGAAATCATCCAACTAGTCAGAGAGAAGGTGAATCCCTATACCTATAGGTTATACCTTTAATAGGAAAGACGAAAGATGCTACAGAATTGTCAATAGGAACCTACACCCCTCTACCCCATTCAATATAACCAATGAAAGAAATAGAAGCAACAGGCAATGTGGTTAAGGGGGAAATAATAATTAATGCTAAATTTGGTGCAGAAAAGAAAGCGACCTCTACATTCTTTGTAAATCTTTCACCTGGGCCAAATATCAAAGCAATGAAAGATCTTAAATTCAATACCACCAATCGGTGGTTATAGAAGACCCAAGGAAAAGAAAATCCATTATACAATGCCACAGGTGCCCACAATATGCACACTCAAAAAACTATGGCATGCGCCCTTATCGCTGTGTTAAATGTGGACAATCCCATAACACCTCAGAGTGTACCAAAAGACACAGAAACACCCCCGCACTGTGTGCCCTCTGTAATTGTCCTCATCCTGCTAATTACAAGGGTTGTGAAGTATACAGAGAAATTTTGGCCCGAAGACAAAAACCACCGATTCAGAAAGAAAGACCCAGTCAAGCCAAACAACCTATATTCGCGAAGAAACCTGAAACTATTCGTAAAAGTAATCAGTACGCAACAAACAAAACATATGCAGAAGCTTTACTTACAAACACACAACGGAAAGACCTCGCCACATTGACGAGTCCAACAGTTCACAAACTGATCCTGGACGCGAAGGTTTACAACAACCTTTACATTCTAGAATAGAACACTCGCTCCTGGCACAAACAGAGAAGTATGATCGTATCTTACAACAAATGGGCACACTATTGATGCTCCTAACCATACTCGTTGAAAAGATCTCAAAAAGACTTCATTGAGATCAGCTACATGAAACATCAATGGTCTCGCTCCTAATAAGAATGAAACGGAACTCCTGATGATACTGCGTAACCTAGATGTACTTCTTATCTCTGAGGCTCATTGTACCGCATCATCAAGCCTCCAATTCAATGCCTACGTGTGTATCACCACTCATCCTGACGGATGAGTCAGTGAGAACATAGACATGCTGGAACGGCAATAGTAGTGAATATGCCTGTCAAACATCACCTCATGCCAGAATACAAAACAGAACAGATCCAAGCAACGACAATAGCAATTGATGATAAAAACGGGCACCTTCATCTGATGGCAGTATACTGCGCACCGAAACATAAAAATAACTGCAACAATGTTTGCAAGTTTCTTCAAATCTCTTGGAAACCGTTTTGTTGTAATCAAAAAACACGTCCTGGGTGGGGATCGAGGTTGACAAGCACTAGAGGAAGGCAAGCACTAGAGGAGGGCAATTACAGTGTTAACAACTTGACCACTGTTTAATCTGGCAAACCCATATATTGGCCAACAAACACGAACAGTATTTCAGATCTACTCGATTTCTTCTTCCTTAAAAGACTTTCTAGGCATTATGTGAAGCCTGAGGCTTGCTGGGATAGTTCTACTGACCACACTCGTGTTTTACTAACTATAAGCTCGATGATGGTAGAGTTCACTAGTTTTGTTCCAATGTACAACAAATGCACCAACTGAGAGTCATTTAGGGAGTTTCTAGAAGACAGAATTAACTCAAAAGTTGCACTTAAAACACCTGACGATATTGAAAACGCGATCAAATTCATAACAAATTTCATCCAGGAGGCGAGTTGGGTGACTAACTACTCATGATATAGAGTCAAGAAAAACTCACACCAACTATCCATTGGAAACTACGAAAGCGTTCCTTGAAATGACGGCTAAGAAGAGTACGGCACCAAAGTAGATTGGATGTTGATAGAAAAATATTTTCCAAGACGGCTGCTAAATTAACAGAAATGTTAAGTGACTGGCACTACAACACACTTGCAAATCAAATTGAGTCACTTTCAGCTACTGCATCGAATGACTACTCTCTCTGGAAGTTTACAAAAAGTCACAATAGACCACAGGTGGTCAAGTCTCCCCTAAAATTAAGCAATGGACGGGCCCGCACTACCCAAGAAAAAGCGCATACTTTTGCTGAACACCTGACAGGCGTATTCCGCCCAAACGAAACAGATGACATAAACTCACAGAAAGAAATAAACGACATCCCACAGCAAGATCTTGTCTCTTCTACCAGACCAAATAACGGTACGAGAACTCTGGAGATCTATTAATAAGAGTATGAAGGCTAAAATAGCTCCAGGATTCGATCCCGGGAAGTACTTAAACAACTTCCAAGGAAGGCAGTAGTGTTCCTTACTACACTTTTCAATGGCATGCTGAGGGTACACTACTTTCCTAGGTTGTGGAAAGTATCACAAATCCTGATGATACACAAAGCCGGAAAACCAGCCCAAGAAGTAACCTCTTACAGACCTATTAACCTGCTACGAATTCTGTCGAAGGTCTTTGAAAAACTGTGGTTGTATCGAATTATGCCATTGTTGGAAAAGCATAACATCATTCCAAACCATCAGTTCGGCTTCAGACAGCAACACTCAACAGTTGAACAGGCCCATAGAGTGGTTGACAGAATCAGAAAAATCTTAGAAGAAGTACTGCTCATCAGTCTTCCTGGATATTCAACAGGCTTTTGACAGAGTGTGGCATAAGGGTCTGCTCTGTAAGATCAAAAGCAGTCTTCCTCACAGTTATTTCATGGTATTCGAGTCGTACTTGTCCAACAGACTCTTTCAAGTAAGGGAAGGCGAGTCAACCCTTTCTTTTATTGAAATAAAGTCAGGTGTGCTTGAAAGCTCGGTACTAGGACCCGTGCTGTATACTATCTACACTGCTGATTTGCCCGTAGTTGAGGATGTGATTACCGCCACATTCGCTGATCATACAGCTATACTTGCCAGTGGTAAAAATCCTGACATTGTAACACAAAAGCTGCAAGGAGAATTAAATGAAATATCCAAATGGTTCCAAAAGTGGAGGATAAAGGCCAGTCCCATCAAAATCAGTGCAAATCACATTTAAGCTTCGAAAGGGAAATTGTCCATCAGTGCAATTAAATAATACAACATTGCCTCACGAGGACTGCGTGACATATCTTGGCTTACACATCAAAACTAAGAGACAAGAACTCAATCTCAAATACAGAAGCCTCACTTGTTGACAAGTGAGGCTTCTGTAACTGCAACAGCAGGTTTTCAGTAGATAACAAACTTCTCATTTATAAAACAATTCTGTAACCTGTCTGGACGTATGGTATCCAACACTGGGGTAGCGTAATTCCAATATCTTAATGGATTAAGCAATGGACCCCTCCCATGCACCATGGTTTCTCACCAACAATGAGATCCACAGCAACATGGAGATGAATACAGTTAAAGATGAAATCCACAATGTTACTGTCAAATACCAAAAACGGCTAGAAAAACACCCAAATGAACTGGCAGCCTAGCTGACAACGTGAAGCTATGAAAAGAGCCTTAAGTGAAAAGACATCTAGTCCCTGTAGAGACAACACTGTATAAAGAGTAGATCACGCCCTCACTAGAGGACATGCTCGACATGTAAAACTTACTATCCCACGCATTTGCATATAGTTTGAAACTGATTGTATATAAAACGAGAACACAGAAAAAATTTACACTCAAGCCTGGTTTCTATAATCAGAAACAATTAAAGTGCATTATGCTGATTTCCTATTCATGCGTTAACTGATAAATTATCAGGATATTGATCCAGCAAGGTTAACTTTCGAAATTATCTTTGATGGTTACTTGACTCCAGAAACTGAGGCTCTATCCTTATTTGATACCATTTTCTTTTGTCTTGTGTTATGCTGGATGCAAGTAAAAAAGTAGTAAAGATTTAAGACAATTGTGGCACATCACTACAGAAAAAAAATTTCAAAATTCAACTACTATATACACTAAACTGCTTCCTACTGAATCATCTCTTGAGAAAAATTGTGTTCATTGTTTGTTCATTCATATTATATTCTGAATCTATAGACATTATTACTCACAAGAAAATGTGTATACAAATTGGTGCATTATTTAAAAACATTTTTTTCATGGTATTTTAAGGATAGCTGCAACTTCAATTTTATACAGCCTAATGTATCAATGATTTGGCACTATTTGGGGAACAGCAAAATATTTACTTTGAGAACACCCATATATACACCTATAGACTGCTACATATCCACCATGATAATGCATAACTATTTTACATTGAAATATAAAATAAGCTTAAATATTCAATGTGGTATTTGGATGTTATCCTAATTTTTATACACCAAAATGTAATTAAAATGTTTACCTGCCTTTCTGCCGTTTAGATGCCAAAATATTAGGTATAAACAATTAAATCATGAGCTTTTGATAATATTAGATAGGCAATGCAGAAAACTATACTACACATTTGTAGTGGCACTGCGGGAATATGGATAATTCAGAGTCGCTGCGTCGTCGCGGTTAATGAGGCTTTCTGTAGTTGCAAACGTCCAGTGAAGAAAGAGTAATTTGATTTAAAAAAGTAGAACATATTATTCAATGTTTAATGCCAGAGCTTCTAAGAGGGTAATTGGAATAAAAATACAAGAAATAAATTCAAAAAGAAGGTAGTTTGTACAGAAATTGCATAAAAATAAAGAAGGATGTTAATATACGTTACTATAAATAATCCAAACAATATTTTCAATCATGATCATGACTTACCAAAGCACAAACAATAAAATCACTAC